GTAAAAATCCATAACGGGCGAGTGGCAGTGTCAGCAGCCGCATTCCACTGTGCCATAGGCCCTGGCAGGGATGTATGTGCTCTTATGTGGGTGGTGAAGACCTTATGGTGTCTGTTCTGGAGCAATGTCTGGATAGACAGGAACAGCCCAGCCACTGTGGAAGTGGATCTAATTAAACCGGCAGTCTCAAGCACTTGCATAGCATTGACCACATACCTAGAATCGGAGACAATGTTAATGGCTCCTGAGAACCGTTCAAGAATCATTTTAATGATCTGCAGTTCCACCACCTGAGGCTGATCAGGTTCAAATTGTATGGTAACCGGGGGCTTGCCTAGGATCACATAGGCGCCTATCCCCGTCTTGGAGCCATCTGTATATATTGTAGTTGCTGGGACTAATGGCTCAGAGGCAGTAACCTTTGGAAAAATTACAGGGTGCTGAGTAACAAATGACAAGATAGGGTCTTTAGGGTATTGATTGTTTATATCCCCATGGAAAACACATCTCAAAATGGCCCATGTATCTATGCAGGCAGCCAGGGTCTTGATCTGGCTGGCGGTATAGGGTACTCGGATGGCTTGTGGTCCTGAGCCAAAATGTTGGACAGCTCTATCATGCGCTTCAAGGGCCAATGAAGCGACTGCCTCCGGGTAATGCTCTATGACTTTTGCAGGTGAGACCTTAGGGTGTATCCACAGTAGTGGTCCTTTCTGCCAAATCACCGCTGTGGGCTGTAGACTAGTCTGTAGCAAACAGACATCAAAGGGTCGCCCTGGTTCAATTCTGTGTAAGGTAGCCACACCTAAGGCTTCCTCCACTCTCTGTAAGGCAGCTCTTGCCTCAGGAGTGAGCCTCCTGTGGGAGGCTATATCTGGGTCTCCCTTCAGAAGGTCGAACAGGGGTTTGAGATCTGAATTTGGTATATGTAAATATGGCCTAATCCAATTAATGTCTCCCAATAGCTTTTGCATGTCATTTAGAGTCCTAACGCCATCCGTCCTAATGGTGACCTTCTGCGGAGAGACTAGCATAGGGGAGATTCTCGCGCCTAAGTAGGTCACCATTTCTCCTCCCTGAATCTTGTCGGGGGCAACATGCAGATTGGCTTGTCTCAGGGCCTCGACCAACTGGCCGAGCATATTATTTAGCATGTCTGGGTCCCTGCCGCTGAGCAAAAGGTCGTCCATGTAATGTACACATCTTATCTTGGGAAAGGATTTCCGTAGGGGGGCCAGTAGGGAATCAAGGTAAATCTGACACATAGTGGGACTGTTGGCCATACCTTGGGGCAGCGTTATCCACTCGTATCTGAGATCAGGGCTTTCTTGGTTAATGGTGGGTAAAGTAAAGGCGAACCTATGGGTGTCCTCTGGATGCAGGGGGATTGAGAAGAAACAGTCTCTAAGATCTATAACATAAATCGGCCAAGACTGAGGGATGGCTGAGAGAGCTGGCAGCCCCCTCTGGACCGCCCCCAGGGACTGCATCTGCGCGTTGACCGCCCTTAGATCATGGAGCAGCCTCCACTTGCCAGACTTTTTCTTAATTATAAAAATGGGGGTGTTCCATGGGGAGGTCGACGGCTTAATGTGTCCTAATCTAAGTTGTGCACTGACTATTTCTGACAAGGCTAATAGCTTCTCCTTAGGCAGGGGCCACTGAGGTACCCAGACCGGATCATTTGATTTCCAGGTGATTTTGATCGAAGTGGGTAGGAGAGCTTCTTCAGCGGCCCCTAAGAAAAACCCAGCCCTTGCCTACCTTTTTTGTTCTCTACTGGTATTGGGGATGTCCGACCCTGTAGGGCATTGCCCAAGCCTTTGCCGGGGGTATATCCCTGGTTCCTGAGTATATCCTTAGCCTGGGGGGAGCAGTTTGATGTAAGCGTGACATCCATCTGAGTGAGGATGTCCCTTCCCCATAGAGACACTGGCAACTGCAACACAAATGGTTGGAAATGGCCCTGATGACCCTCCTCATCGCACCAGAGCAGGGTTGAAGCACTAACCTGAGGAGCTGACACCATCCCCAGGCCCTGCAGCGTGTTATCTGCAGTGTTGGTGGGCCAGTTGGAAGGCCAATCCTTTTTGGAGATAATGGAACGGTCAGCTCCTGTATCTAGGAGCCCTGTTATATTCTTGCCATTGACCTTAAGTGAGAGCATGGGCCTTTTATCAAGTGTCATATGGAGTCCCTCGAAGACTTCCCCTGAGGAACCGAAACCTTGACTTTCTCTAATTTTCTGCTTTGAGGGAAATCTCTTGTGGAGACTGGGGAGCAGCAAGAGCTGCGCTATCTTGTCTCCTTTATTGATTACCATAGTACCCACAAGAGATTGAACCATAATTTTAATATGTCCTGTGTAGTCTGAGTCTATGACCCCCGGGACTACTGTGAGACCCCGAAGGGCCGTGGAGGATCTCCCGATCACCAGACCCACGGAATTTTCGGGTAACGGTCCCTTAAAGGTGGTTTCAACCACTTGAACACCCATGTCAGGCACTAATATAAGTCTGGAGGCGACACTGAGGTCCACACCTGCTGACCCAGGGGTGGCCCTTGTTGAAGGCTGCCATCCTGAGCTGTCCTGTCTCTGGGGCGGGGGCCCGCCTGTGAGGGGGGCCCCCTCTGGCCGTTTTTTGGCTCTCTAGCATCTCGTCCACAAATACGGTTGCCCTGAGCATCAAAGACCGACCTGCACTCCTCAGCTTTGTGTGATCCCTTCTTGCATCGCCCACAAACATATGGTTCTTCATTCCTAGGACGGGGCCTAGCATCTGCATTGTTTGGGCAGTGACGTTTAATGTGTCCTGGCTCCCGCAGGCAAAACACCCTCTGGCCTTACATTCCCCTCCTGACCCGCGAGGTCCCCTCTGCTGTACAGCCGCGGCCAGGAGAGCAGCCACTCCCGAGTTGGAGAGCGGCCCCCCTATCTCTCTGCATATCCTAATCCAGGTGTTGAGGTCCTTGTTCTTATGAGGGGCTATCGCTGCCTTGCACTCCTTTGTACATTGCTCGAAAATCAGCTGCCTTACCAGCGGTCGAGCCACTCCCGGATCAGAAAATATTTTATCGGCAGCATCTTGCATTCGGGCCACAAAGTCAACAAATGGCTCTGTGGTACCCTGAATTATTTTTGAAAGACACAAGGAGGCTGTTCCGGCACCACTTACCTGCTTCCAGGCGCGGAGCCCTATGGCATTGATTTGTTCATAGACAGCGCCGGGGAACTGAGTCTGATCATCAGCGTGCCGACCTTCTCCCATAAGCATTTCCTTGTTCCACCCCCGGTTTCCCCGACTGGCGTTTCTCTCAGCCTGCTCTGCAGAGAACTCTGCGTACCAGGCTCGCCAATCCAGGTAACTACCCGAGGGCAGACACGCCTTTGCCAGCTGAATCCAGTCCGCGGGGGTGAGGGGCCCAGAAGACAGGTTCTCCAGCATGGCAATGGTGTAAGGCGCAGTCGGCCCAAAGGTTGTAACTGCATTTTTAAGTTCTCTAATCTGCTTTATCTCAAAAGGCTCCCATGCATTACGTCCCTGGCCCATAGCTACTTGTACAGGAAATATCCCGTAGGGGCCACTATCTATCCCAGGTGGTGGATGTACCTCATGAGACAAACGTCCCCCCTGCCAAAGCCGCCTGTAAAAATACCGACCCGCCGGCGGTGGAGCATAAGACGGCGGCCGTGATTGGGCGGAAAATGGGGGCCCGTGCATCACTTCCTGTTCTGGCGAAAGGGGAGGGAGCTCCCACGCGGCCGCCTCGTGGTGAGGGATCGCTTCCGGGAACAGCCCCCAAGGTGGGGCAGAAGGCTTCGCCTCCCTCTCGCGCCAGGGGACGCTCAGGAGCTCTCTACTCCTCCGCAGACCAAGTTGAGCGGAGCGCAATTCGCGGCGCAACGCTGGGAAAGAACCCTGCGACTCCTTATCGGGCGGCCTATCCTCTTGGCATCTAGGCTCCTTGGTCTCATCGTTGTCTAAGCCTTCCTCGTTCTCGGAGTCAGACGACTCCGAGGCCTGAGCCCCGTCTTCCTCCTTTATATCTTTGTCTCCTTTGACGGACCCCTCCCGGGAGCTCCCTGACTGGGCCTGTTCGAATGCCCTACGCACTTTAATGAGCTCTTGAGAACCTTCCCTGCAACCACCCTCGCTCTTCAAGCATGCATATATCATTTCCCACAGTGGCCGAGCGAAGACCGAAGCCCCGCCCTCCCTTTCCGCTAGAGAAAGATCCCTGCCCAACTTCTCCCACGAGGGTAGGTTTAAGTGCCCTGTGGGCAAGAACCAGGGAGCGAAACTATCAATCTCCTCAAAAAAGCTCTCCAGCGTTTTGCGTCCCACCTTGAGGTCTCTGGACTTTAAGAGCTTCCGGAGGACCCGTACCAAGGGCTGGGTTATCCCCTGCTCACCTGTCTCGCAGTGCTGTATCAAGGAACGTTGTCCACTACCACGTCTCGGGGGTGATCAGTTGTTCCCCGTGCGGGCCTCCAAATGTCGATGTCGCTCCCGGCCGGCAGGAAGGACACACGACAAAGTCTGGCAGTGGACAACCCTTTCTTTTATTTTCTCTCTGTACAGCCTGCCCTGGGATCGCTCCCAGCCGAAGCCTCCTCTGGTCCGCTCCCCGTGGCTCCTTCCGTGCTTCGCTCTGAAGCCTCTACCGGTCCGCTCCCCGCGGCTCCTTCCGGGCTTCGCTCCGAAGCCTCTACCGGTCCGCTCCCCGCGGCTCCTTCCGGGCTTCTACTTCCCCCCAGGGGTGGCACCAGTATATATACGGATACAGTGTCCAATCATGTTAAAGTAAGCAAGGCAAGCTGATTGGCTAACATATTATTGAGCGGGTTGTTTACGCGGTAAGCAGGAAACTAACGTGCTCGATGGGAGGGGTAATCTAACTCAGGCTTTACTCTTTACCACAGGCCGCATGATCGCTATATGCGGCGGCTCGGCAATGTGGTGGCTCCCAACACCCGACCTTCCTGAGTTGGTCTCCCACTGTACAATGATTGCGTCTGGCCTCCATTGTGATGGCAGAGAGAAGCGCTCTGCGGTGTAGATGGCAGGAGCGAGCAGTGGCAGGAAAGGCTGTTTCCCAAAGCTGTGCGATTATCTTGAGTACTTCTGTGAGCTACCCTGACATTGTTTGTCTGATTAGTTCATTCACATTTTTGGTTCTGGATTCTTTTAGCTAAAAAAGTTAGTTTAATTTTGAAAGGCTCCAAACTCTGATTACTGAAATGAATTTCAGTGGCTTCAGTTGGTGCAACTTCATTATAGGGTACACCAAATGAATTAATGAATTAATCCAAATTCAGCTTTCTTCTGTGTAGTGGAGTTGTCGTGAGATGTGCTCTAATTGAAAGAATACCAGCGATTGCTTGATATTTCATCTGGTGATTTATACAGATTTTTAAATGCATAAAAGGAAACCAATTAGCATTAGTTGCAAGATTTATTTCTCAACTCATTTCTGGATTCAAATAATTAAACACAGCTACCTGAAATAGCTGTTAATGAGATAAAACCAGATGAAAATGTAAGCTATTAATTGATTCACCAACCCCTAGAAAACAGATTGTTCAGTTAACATATATTTAGGGATTTGAAAACAAAGATCTCTTTGGGAATTTAGAGAGTAGTCATAGTCATAGGCAAAAACTTTAATTTTCTCTTTCAGTATAAACTTTGTGAATGGTTCAAAGCTCAAAATGTCTGGAATTCTAAAGTGAGCTTCGATGAGGGTGGTATATGCTAGAATCCTGACCTGTGACAATGCAGACAGAATTTGTCAGGCCATGTGATTTTATCACAAAGCCTGAGTCTTGCAAAGAAGAGCAGGTTTCCATATTTGCCTTTGGTCAGCTCTTTGCATTGTTGATTGACTCCCGGTAATGCTGTTGTCAGTATTTTGTCAATAGTCAAATAGATCTCATGACTGGCATTTTGCCTTTTTAAAACCATCCCTCGTTGCAGTTACAGAGATTTGAAACTTTAAAGCCAGCTGGGAATGGCTGGTGGCTTTTTAATTATTATTTATGAATGCATCAGAAAGAAATATTGACTTCTAATTAAAGCCAGAAAATTGCTCCTGGAATAAATTGCTGAAGGTCAGTTTCTTTGCTAAGAACTTGTGCATGTGTCTGGTGTTATCACTATTGTAAATAAGGCAGCAATCAACCTGTTTGCAAAAGTGGGTGAAGATATCTAATTGTTATATTAGTTCTTGCTTTTGGTATTGAATTTCAATTAAATTTTTCTATTGCTTTCTCTATTCTTGATATTTTTCTCTTCTGAGGCTGAGAAAAACTACTCTGTATTAAAAACAATTAGAATGTCTCATTTTGTTTTTCCTTGAGAAAAGTGATTTGTGTGTTTATTGGTTTGAGGGAATTAAAATGGTAAAAAAAAAAAAAAAAATTCTTAGAAATCCTATTTCCTAGCGTAAGAGAAAGTTTCTCACCAGACTAGAATAGGCAGTTCTAGGGAAGCATTTGTCTGTTTTGGACTAGGAAACTCAGACTAAATCAGAACACTGTAGTAGTCAAAAGAAAGAATCAAATAAACAGCCTCATTTGAGATTTTGGCACAGTGAATAGATGTTTAAATATTTAACGACTCTTTTTATCTTTACCTGATCCAAAGTCATAAACAGGGAGTTGGAATGATATTTTAAGTAGTTGCCTGTTGACTTTGAAATTAAAGTAGATATCACGCCTAGGTTTTAAATAACTTCCATTTGTCTGCCACCCAGGGCTCTGTTCCCAGTGTTCCTGGGGTTAAAATAATTTTTAACTGGGTGATGTTCTTCATGCTATGTTGATGCAATGTATACTCACGGTTTAGATTACTGGTCAGGGTTTGAAATTTATCAACCCCGAAAATGCATCTTGGAGGTGATTTCTGGAATCCTGTGGTTTAGTAAATTTAGGAAATGCATTAGAAAACCAAAAGCTCTCCAATTTAAGTATGTAGAGAAAAAGTTTCCATCTGGGGTGGTTCTGGCAGTCTCTGGAGATGTTCTGAGATCACGAATTGGGGAGGATGCCACCAGAATCTAGAAGCTAGACCTGGCATCTACCCAGCATTTACCCAGTGTCTTACACTGGACCAGGCAGCCCCCAACAACAAAGACTCACCTGCCCTCAAGTGTCAATAATACAGAGGTTGAAAAACCCTAATTTAGAAAAATATGATAAAATATGGTGCAATGACAACTGTGACTCAACACCAAAACTCTACTTTGGGAAAAATAAATTAAAATAAGAATGAGATGTCAGATGTGTTTTTCATCTGTTGAAATAGTAAAAATGGGCCTGGGATTTAGCTCAGCGGCATAAGTACCTGCCTGGTAGGCGCAAGGTCATGAGTTTGATCCTCCATATTAAAAAAAAAAAAAAAAAAACAACAATAAGAAAAAACAATAAATAGCAAAAAAAGTGATAAAAATTTTGGCAAAGACGGTAGGAAGCAAGGAGCCTCTTTGGAGGAAGAAATCTGGCAGTACCCATGAACAATGGAAATCCCCCTTCACTCAAGGACTTCCCCAGGAGAAAATATCAGTATACCAGATTTTATCTTGCTATGATGGTTTAAAAAAACCTGGAAACTCCCTGAATTTTACTGTTAGTGAAAATTTTAAAGACTACTTATATTATAGATTTTTGTTGTTATTGTTTTTTGTTTTATGAGACAGGGTCTCACTGTACAGTCCAGGTTGGCCCCAAACTCAAGGCAGCCCTCCTGTCTCAGCTCAAGAAGCACTGGGGTTGCAGGCATGTGCAACAGGCCTGGTCCAGTATAGACTGTTATGCAATTATCAAACTAGTAATTTTATTAAGCTATTTTATTAGTCTATTAAATGAACTAGATCCATATTTAATAACAAAGATACCCAGGGTACTTTTTAGATGAGAAAAATTACATCAGAGTAATATGTATTCTTAACCCATTTTTATAAAACAAATAGCAAACATGATTGATGTCTCTCTCAAACATCATGTCTCAAACATGATGACGGTCTCTCTCTCTCTCTCTCACACACACTCTTTCTCTCTCCTTATACGTATATAGTCTATTAATTTTTTTACTGTTGCAGTTCAAACCTAGGGCCTCATACACACTAGGGAAGCAGTCTACCACTGAGCCACACTCTCTTTCCTATACTGTAGTATTTTTAGGGAGCCGTGGAAGATGATTTAGCAGATTTTTATTTGTTATTTCATTGGACGAGGTAAGAATGAAAGCTTGTGCTGTATTACTAGGTATTTTCTTTCTCCACTTCATTTTCCACTTTAATTTTACTTTTTAAAAATGTTTTATCTTTTATTTTTTTCTTTTTCACAGCGTTTGCTGCGCCTATTGGTTATGTAGATTAGGGAGTTTCGTTCTGGTAGATTTGCACCTGCACCTGCAAACCTACCTTTGTGATTCTCCCATGAATCACTGCGTCCCATCCTCGGAGCTAGCTTCACATTTTGGGGGGATGATTTCAATGTGTGTAGTGAACTTGGTCATGTTCATGCTCCCTATTTTATTGCTTTTGTAATTTATGAACAATGAAACAAAATCCTTCTAAGGGTTCACATCATTCTTCAGCAGCTGCTTGATGTGTAACACTAGTCTTGTGATCACGTGAAAGTGTTACATCGTGATTGGTAGACTTACATGAAGGGTGGTTACATTTCAATATTTTTTGTTGGTGAATAATGCTGAAATTTAAGGCACTTCAAATAAGTGTGTATATATATGGTCTTTTTGTGTGTACTGCTGAATATTTCATTCTGCTGTTTATAACATGATAAAGTCTGCATATAATAAAAATAACTAAGAAACACAGGACCTGATGATGCTGTATAATGCGGGGATGCAGCCGGGAGCTCCAAAACCACTCTCCGGTGTTCAGGGCCAGCCGTCGAAAGCTACCCAGGTACCTGTTGCCCGGAGGGCATTGTTGTTTTGCTTGATGTCGACCTCAAAGGTTAGGAACCTTTCCTGAATCTTTGATTATCTTTACTTTACAGTTACCTCTCCCATCTCAGTAACACAAAGCTGCTGCAGGTGTAACTTGGGTTTTGACCTTCTTTTACGTTGTGAGAATAGAGATGCAACTATTTTCTTTTCTTAAAAATGCACATGAACACTTTGGTCTTTAAATCATAGTTACGGCTTGGCACACGTTACTGTTAGCATTGGGGGAAAACTGAAAAATTTTAGCATCAGCTCTTTTTTTCAGATCTGAATTAGGAACTGTGATTTAAAAAAAATACAGTGACTAAAAACCAAAATCATTGCAGTGACAGACATATTACCAATAATCTCTCTCAAATACGTCCTTGCTTCAGACATGCTCACCCCGTTCTTTGCGCCACTTTCTGAGTAGTTGTGGAAGTTCCCTTTTGTGTCTTTTTGTGGCTGCCTCAATGTTTTGAATCAATTCAAAACTTTTATGATAATTTCTGTCCAATAAAAAGATTGCGATGCATCCTCATCCACCTTATTTACTGAATCCGGCACAGCGTGACTGCTGCTTTGCCCAAAGTCAAGATGAGAGGTAAATGTTTTGAATCCATTCATGACAGGGAGCCCAGCCAGAGCAATGCAACTAGACACTCAGGAAAGAGCACTTCCAGGACTGCGTCAGGGAGTGGCAAAGTGATGCCAGCTGTGCCTGCAGCAAAGAGGGCTATTTTGAAGGTAACCAATGGCAATTTGTCTTTTATTGATATAATTTTAATTATACTTGCACTAGTTTTTTTTTTTAAATCACACTAACGAAGGCTATAAAGTGATAACAGGAATTTGCTAAATGACCCTGTTACCTAACCCCTACCACCTCCCACAAAATTAGCTAACGTAATTGAGTGTTATTATGCCTTGACCTTAATTTTATTCTGTTGATATGTATTTTCATAAGAACCTCATGAGGTGTATGTGGTTTGATTTTGGGGTTTTATTTTATTTTATTTTATTTTTTGGACCTGGGGAGCGAATTCATGACCTTGTGTTTCCAGGCAGGTGCTAGAGCCACTGAGCTAAACCCCCAGCCCTGAGCTACCCCCCAGCCCATGCATGCAGTTTTTAATCCTCACTTTATAATGAGAAAATGTACACATAGAGGAGGTTAGGCAACTTGTCCAAATTTCTTAAGCTGCTATGGAACAGCCAGAATTCCAGCCAAGCAAAAATGACTCCAGAGAATGAGGAAGTATGGTGGAAATTCAAGACTATGGAATTGAAGCATCCTGCCATTATTTTATTCCAGGCATGTTTAAAATAAAACAAGCACATTCTAATCCAACAAATTCTTGGCTTTAGTAATAGGTTAATCTGGTAAAGAATTATATATTCTTTATTAACTATATACCCATATATAATAATTTGAGAATCTCTGCTGCCTATTTTTTTGGACGTTTTGCTAGGAACAGGTCACAGTTTTAAATAATGGTGTTTATTTTGGCCCAGTGAATAAATATGGAATATAATCTCTTTCTCTTCTTCTTTAGAATGAGTTTGCACATATGCATATATTCATGCAAATGACTTGGAGAACAGTTTGTAAGTGACACAGTCTCTTGCGTACTGCAAGTTCCCACCATTTGGACCATGAGCTAGCTTTACTGGCCTTGTGATCGTATGTCAATGCTTATAATGAATTCAGTTCTATTACCATTAATATCTCCTTCAGCTGAATTGTGACACCAAGACATCACAGAATGTAGGTTATTAGATGCATAAAAATAAATAATTTGAGATCACTTTCTCACATTTGAGATTTAATTCTCTCTCTGCTGGGAGTGTTATATTGAGAAGGATATGTGTGGCATATTGTTCAGCCTTCGCAATTACAGTCTTCAAGTTTTACACTTTTTTCGCTTCTAATTTTCATATTCCCATACCATTCTTCAGCCACCAAGCCTACCACTAGATAACTGGCTCTGGGGGGTAAATTTTGCATCTTACTTTTCCTGTCACTGGTGAGTATTTTTTCTGTTCTGCTTTTATTGCATAGATTTTTCACCCAGCACATAAACCACACATCCTAAAGTAAAGATGCTGGGTTGAGTCCATTTTTAAGAGGCTGGCCATCTTCTCATTTCTTCCCAGAGGA